TTGGAGGGCTTTAGTTGGTTTGTGTGCTACAGAGATGCCATGTGGTTGTAATAATCTGTTGATAGTTTCTCAGACGTTTCTGATGTATGGCAGTGTTACCCTTTTCGTAGCTTGTATTGGTTGTGTTATAGTAGGTTGAGTGGTTAGGCACTTTTTGATAAAGTTGCATGGATATCCATTTTGTTGGAAGATGTTGTATAGGTGATCAAATGACTGCAGGACACTGCAACATCATAACTGCAAGCCAAGTGCCAAAAGCCCAAATCGCAATTACGTGACTGTGGGGATGCTGCGATGGCTGCAACTACAAGGACCGATTATAAGTGTCCCTCATTCAGCACCATCATAACTTTGAACCGTTGCTGAATGAGTAGTAGTTAAATGAGGATTACCTGTAATCCAATTCTTCTAGAGCAGGGGTTCCCAACCTGGGGTGCCCGAACCCCCAGGGGGTGCGAGATAGAATTTCAGGGGGTCAACAATTTTATGCACTGAGTTATGCACTCACTTATTTTTTTAAGTTCAATTTGTTCACCCACATTAGAAATTAGACTTCTTCATCTTCAAATGTGATATTAGTTTTGTAGGGGATGCAAACATTAATCAAATATTTCCTAGGGCTGTGGGGGATAGAAAAGATTGGGAACCACTACTCTAGAGTTCTGGGGGAACTCCAAAATGAAGGCCTGATGTTTTCAAAACTAGAGGAGGAAAACTGGCATACACTTCATTTAACAATTCTGCAAAATCCACTACCAACAGTATGTCAACAAGGAAATATGGGTGTTATAAAAGTGGCTGCTGATACCAAAAAGTTGTTTGTGGGAGGGATGTCAAAATTCTCCTCTGCACATTATTGTTTCTTTCAAAGATCATTTTCAAACTATTATTTCTTACGTTAGACCTAGAAATAATCTTTCAGATATATAAATAAGCCTTTCATTCCTTTAGTCTTACAGTGACTAAGATTTAATCTTTCTTGCAAACTGGAAAATTGTTTTGAAAAAAGTGAAGATAAAAAACCAACTTCATAACAGTTCAACCAGGACTCAGAAAAAAATTTACGTTGTTGGACCCAAAAGCAATGTACTTTTGAAATAAAAGGGAACAAAATAAAGACATAAAGTAACATATTTAAAGTAAACCAAAAGAATATTAAAATGTATCATAGGTATCAACAAGTTTAATGAAAGAATAATGTTAAACATGTCAAAATCCAGTAGGGAATGGAGCTAATCTGACCTCCTTTGGAAGGGAGTTGTTCCTAGTGATATTCCTTATGTATATGCAACTGATCTACCCTCTTGCTGATGTGGTATAAAATGTGGTCTCTAATGAAAAACACAGAATATACCCAGGCACGTAAAGAGACAGATTTTCAAATATTTAGAGAAGCCAAATTCAGGATTTCAACTCCGTATCATAAATGCAAATAAATAAATAGTCATTCTATGTTGCCTAATTTTCTTTCAGATAATATCATTGCATACCCATCATCTCCAAAGCAGACTAACAGCAACATATTTTACCACAAATTTCTGGTAGGCTATTAAGCAGGACAAACAGTTTGCTTTTTAATTGACAATTACTTATTGCATGTTAAAATAATAAATTACATCAAAATTGTTACTTCAGGACACGTAACATATTTCATCCTTCATGCAAATTAACACCAAAGGAGCTTTTGAGGCATAGAAAAGAATCAGTCTGCTCAAGCCCTAGTGAGATCCAGCATGCTGCAAAACTATTAAGAGAGACATGACTATGAACACATTTTACAGGTAGTCTTTGACTTACGATGGCAACTGGGACTGGAATTTTTATCGCTAAGTGATGCAGTCGTAAAGCACAACCGCGCTTAGCAATGGCAATCCCTGCAGTCCCAACTGCCATTGTTAACTGAATCGCAGCAATTGTTAGGCAAGGACCTCCTTGCAACTTCCTGCCAGCTTCCCACAACCAAAGTTAATGGGGAAACCAGCAGGAAGTTACAAGTCCCAGTTGGCTTGCAAGCAAACCGGTAGGCAGGTAAGGTGGGGGAAGGAGCGAGAGGGAGCGCAGGCGTTCTGGGAGGCATGGTGAAGCTCAGGGAGGCTGCTTGGGGGTGGGCGAGTGGTGAAGGAGATGCGGTGAGGGTGCACAGGGTGCATAGGGGTGCATGAGTGGCAAGGAGGTGCAGCTAGGGTGCACAGGGGTTCATGAATGGCAAGGGAGGCATGGCAAGATTTGGGGAGGGTGCGTGGGGTGTGTAAGTAGTGAGGGAGGCACGGCAAGGCTCAGGGAAGGTGCACAGGAGGCGCAGTGAGGGCACATGGGGTGAGTGGCTGGCGCGGCACGAGTGCAGAGAGGTTGGGGGAAGGTGAGCAGGTGGGGGAGACTTACTCCAGTGACTTGCAACCTTCCCTACTGGCTTCCCCATCGACTTTCTGGGAAAGCCGGCAGGGAAGGTCGCAAATGGAGATCATGTGATCACAGGGTGCTGCAAACAGTTGTGTGAGCTGGCTGCCAAGCATCCAGATTACAATCACGTGACCGCAGGGGTGCTAGGATGGCTGGAATTTTGAGAACCAGTCATTACCACCATTCGTTGAATGCTGCCATAACTTTGAATGGTCACTGAACAAATGGTCTTAAATCAAGGACTACATGTATATAGCAATGATACTGAATGATCACCTTTGCTTCTTTTGGGATAAAATCACACAGTAGTTTATACATTTTTAAAATACACAATAAGGAAGTTTTTAAAGACAGAGATGGAATGGAAAAGGAATTTGAATCTCTGTCAGCAAGTTGGGAAAGACATTAATTCTTTGATGAACTAATGACCTCCAATTGCCTTCTTCCAATCTTTCTTATCTCTAAGTACAGGAGCAGTTGAGCCTATTTGTTTTTAGGGATCACCCACCTAAAAGGAAGCGCTGGGAAGAAAAATATTAGACAGCCAATTTATGCTGTATAAACTGAAGTGAGCAATGGCTGAGGTGAGGATATAAGGAGACAAATATAGTAATTAAGCAACACACCCCAATTATTTTCCAGTTTCTTCCATTTGTTGGGAAGACATAAATTAGTCTCTGAAAAAGTTTTGGAGAATCAGGAATTTCCTGTGGAAAAATGTAATCTTGAAAATACTGGGATTGACCAGGAGTTGATCTACTTCCCCCAAATTAGAAAAGTTTACTTTTCTTACTCCAAGAAGAAGCTGAGTCCTAGACAATGTTAAGTTTAAAGAATACAGGCTCAATCAGCAGGCAGGTATAGAAAGTTCCTGTTTAAGGAGCAAAAAGCAGGGTTCCTTGTGAGAAAATATTTATCTAGGAGTTAGTTCCTGATCATGGATAGGAATGTTACTAGGACTTCTCTAATAGCCTGTAAATAACTCAACAATCCAAGCTTAAAAGTTTTCAGTTTTGTACTCCAGGTTTTGTAAACATGTCATTACCAAATGTTGATATATTATATGCCTGTTTCACTGAAACTTGACTTTTGGTCCAGAGTCAGTCCAAGACACTGTTTTTGACTACTGATCAGCTTCTTCAACAGCCCAACCATGCCCTAGACACAAATTTTATTGACTAAAAAGGGATGACAATTTTAACTACACTGAAGGAAAGCAGGTAGAAGGAAAAATAAGCCACAGAAATCACTAGAAAGTAATGCTGATTGAGAAGCATGGAATATGATACTAGCAAAAAAGCCTCTCAGATGTACAATACAGCTACTTGTCTATAAGTTTCCCAGGCAATACTGAATTCTCCAAGACACATAAAGAGAAGCTTGCAAATACAAACAGAAATATCCAGTCAGTTCTGGTTAAGACTGTTTCTTAAAACCTAAAATCAGATCTAACATATACAAACTTTTTAAGATCTACACAGGAATAGGTACATGCTAAAAACTACTGTCACAGATACAATGTTACACTGGCAAAATTCTACACTTATGTAATAACATTCCTACCTATACTAGGAGGACTGCCATAATTTATTGGTGACTCTGGAGGTCTCCCACAATGCAGTGCAGCAAGAGCAGAACCCTTCCATATAACATGTTTGCAACCTGTTTAAATATAAAAGACAAATATAAGCACAGAAACATACAGTGAAAAAGACGATCAAGCCATTTTTGCTTTTGCATACTCATACTTTTATTTGTCCGGAGCAAAGACTGTCTTCCAGCTCCTAATAGTGTTTGGACTCCTGGGACACTTTGAGGAATTTCTTGCTCTAGAAGAGGTCCAAGCCGATGGCATATTTGCAGGAGATGATCAGGTGCCAAGTGTCTATAGTATTTTACCTGTTAATAAACAAGCAAAAAAAAAGTACAAAGTTTTACTATCATTTTTTAACGTGAAAAAAATTCTTGAAAATGAGACAAGTACCGTATTTATCGATGTATAACACGCACAGGTATATAACACGCACCTTAACTTTAAGAAGGAAGTTTGAGTAAAAAAACTTAAATTTAAAATAAATGACTTGGAAGCAAAATAAAGGGAGCTCCGAACTTTTTGTTTATTAATATTTATACCACTTACAAGGTAAATATGTAATATGAAAGAAAAAGCACCTCTTCGAACGAAGAAAACTGGTGCTCCAGATCACTCGGGCTAGCGCCTGAGCTCCACAGAGCAGGAAGTGAGCAGCAGGTGAGCGAGCAAAAACCGGTGCTCCCCATTGCGCACTAGCACAAGCGATGGGAAACATAGTTTTTGCTCGCGCGAGCGATGGGGAGCACCGCTTTTCACTCGCTCGCCCACCGCTCACCTCCTGCTCTGCGGAGCTCAGGCACTAGTGCGAGGGATGGGGAGCACTGGTTTTCGCTCACTCGCCTGTTGCTCACCTCCTGCTCTGCGGAGCTGCCCCAGTTACAGCCCTGGCTCAAATGAAGGCTCCACTCTCCCAGCCCTGCTGCTTGAGTATCAGCATATAACACGCAGCTAGGATTTCAGCCCCAAATTTTCAGGAAAAAAGTGCATGTTATACGCCAATAAATATGGTATTTGGCACTCAAAACATTGTTTTTGTAATTTCTATTCTATTCAGCTAGAGAGAGAATAATTTAAAACATCATATCCTTAAACAAGCTATAGACTAAATTTGTTAAAAACCATGATTTTAAATTGTTCATAAAGTATAAAACCATTTTTTAATTTGAATTACTACAAAAGTAATAACAAATATACGATAACATGACAATATTTGTATAATTAAAAGAATATACATAATCTTTATAAAATGGTGAAGATACCTCAGCATTCCCATTCCTTTATTATAGACAAATGACTGAAGGTAAGAGAAAATGAGTTACTAAGAGCCATCTAATGAATTCATGGAAAAGGCAGAATTTTAACTATGAAGCTCCTAGCTTATAATACACGTTCCAAGTAATTACACTATACTAATTACAGTCCTACATAATACAAGAGTGCTTGCTTTCCTCTGTAATATTTCAGAAATTGTTTTCTTGAAAATAAAATTCACTGTTCAACATTCAATCTAAATCCTTTTGACAATGAGCACAAGGAATACACTGTTATATAAGGGTAAGTTATAAAGGTGAATAAATTAATATAAAATACATTTCATATGTTACAGTAACGATTGGAATATAAAACTATGATTAAAACTGTGTGTTGACAAGGCAATTTCAATTAGACCCAATGTGAATAAGCAGAATTTTACTCTAACTAAATCAAAGGCTACCTCCTTTGACTCAGAAGCTCATTTGAGGTTAGATTTTTGTCCTCCATTGTCTAGCATGAGAAAGCAACACACACTTATTTTTTTTTAAAAAAAAAGCTTTTCTCTGAAAGATTAAAGTATATATATCATTGTGGGGGATTTTTGGCAGAATGAAGTGACATCTGCTGGCTAAACTTCCTCCCCCTCTACAGATAAACTGTATTAAATTTCAGACAGGTGAGAGTTTTTAAGGGAGTCTTAAAATAACTGGACAAGGGTTGTTAATTCTGCCTGATTCTGGGAGGGTAATGCTTGTGAAAATTTTATATATTGTAAATGTGCCCTTTGAACAGAAGCATAACCACTTACAAGTGAACTAGAATTTAAAGTTACTTTCATTTAAATTCTAAAATATTATTAGCTGCTAATATATATAATAGTTGTATGCTTTTTGGACAGAATTAGACAATATCTGCTGGCATATCTACCCCTTCTGAGGAGACATATCCTGCTGAATTTCAGCTAAGAAGAAAGGGAGGTAATTGATTATAATAAGAGAGTTTCTAACTTGGGGTGGTAAAAAAAGTTATTAGTAGCAATGAAAATGGCAGATATTGTAAAAGTGCCTTCAAAAAAGCAAACAAGCATACCAAACTAGAGAACAATATGTAGAGGGCCACTTCAGTGGTTTTTGAAATAATTAAATGTCATACACCCATTTATGTCATCTAATGCCATCTGTTTTCCTCTTAACACTGGTGAGTTCAGCATTAATATCTGCAGGAGAAAAGCCATATTAGCTTCCACATGAGTCAGGAACCTGATGGTTATATCAACTAAAACAAATTATTTTGATTTCAAGACACCTAATATCTTCCACTAGCTTAGTACAGCCATTGAGAATGAACAATAGGGATTCTCTGTCTCTCTATTTTTTTTTAAATGTCCCTGTTAGTTATATGCAAAGGAGCTGCAAAAAACTGTGATTAGAAGATAAATGTCAGTCATTTTACTCCTCTCTCTTCCTCATCCTGATGTTATAAACAGAAGCACAAACAATAGAAGATTTTGCAAACAGATTGCCTTCTTTTCTGCATGTCAAGGCTCTAAACCAATTCAGGTTGCCTTATAGAAATTATACTAGATTCAGTCAAAACAGACCAATTCAACTAGAGATTCAACAGAATCCAATGCACACATTTCTGTCATTTACCCAATAATATCTAACACTATAGCACTATGTGCACAGGAAAAATAATTACCCCAACCAGACTAGTATAACATCTTAAAACTAAGTTTTATACAAAGATTTCCATTCACAGATGAGCCATTGTTTAATGTGTACTTGAATAGTATAAAGGAAAAGTGAAACTTACTCCAAAAATATTTGATTGGAGCCATATTTAGTCATACTTGGAACAGGACATTGAATTAGATTCAAGCTATTCCTTAAAATTACAGTCATTACTTTTTTTAAAAAAGTAAAAAATAGCAAGGTGTTGTTGAAGTGAAAAAAATCTGCATTGTGACGTCACAACACAAGCTCCATCCTCTTATATATGTGTTAGGTTGCAATGTAATTACAAAAGGGGTGGAATTTGTGTTGTAATACTGGAATGTCTTTCCCTCTTGTGGGTACCCATGCTTTCATAAGTAGCTTAGATTCAATGCCATCTTCTTATTTTACAACTGGTTCTCCATACAAAACCTCAAGTGCAAAAAGTTCCCTTAAATGTAAGCTTCAGAAATCACAGAAGATTTTAATTAGATTCTAGCTGTATTCAGAAAATTCGGCTTGGAATATGGTTCTGTAGAAACTATTTTTTCTCATCCCCTTTGGCATTATGCCATTTATATACATTGAATAATATTTGGTGTGATATTCTTTTAACAAATGGTTTCCTCAACTGAATAATTATGTAAAAATAAATATTAAAAAAATGTGTACACATCTGCATGTATCTTCTCCCAACATAATAAGAGTTCTGAGGTTAATGTATTCTGAATCCAAGAAAATGCAACCCTTCTCTCCAGATAAAAATGTTCATTATTATTTTAATTGTCACATGAAAATGTAATTATCCAAGTGCATCAGATATCTAGTGAAGACAGTTTACATTATAATCAGTAACTCTCTGCTCAAGAAGTGTTATGCCTTTTCTTTAAGGGCTTTCCCCTCCTAAGAGTTTGGCTGTGTTAAGCTCTCCCACGTAGAAGAATTGCAGCAAAAGGGAACACCTAACAGATGTTTTAATTGGTATCTTTATCCCTTTCTTATATCTTTTGCATTCCAAGCACTTTTTCCTCACATTTACTCACTGAATTGCATGCCCCAATGACTCAATTCGATCAAACCTAATTTGAATGAATACTAAGAGGAAAATAAGCTTAGGTAAAGTTCATTCAAGATAGCTACTTTTTTAAAACATTGAGAAATTTTTAGTTAAGAATTGAACAATATATATTTGCAACATTTTCACTGTGTTCCCATTTAAGCCCATTGAAACAGTACCACAAACTCTTTGTTGTATAAAAATCACATGACATTCAGCATATAAAGTAACTTCTTTTGAGAATACTGTATGTACAATGTATTAAATGCAAAGAATTTGTACATTTTAAAAGAATACAAAAAACTTTTATCATATTACCCATGACAATTGGAATTAGCACCATCAGATGAAGAAGAAAGAGTTGTTAAGAGGACAAGCAGGCTTGGCAGCTGCAAATTTAAATTCCTGTACACAGAGGCTAACTTTGCCTATCTCAATCTGATAAAATCAAGTAAGGTTTTACCACAACTTTCCTTGAGTAACCTTCATGTTTTCAAAATTTAGGGGCAGATAGTCAAGAAATGAACTAGAGGTCTCTTTTGAACAGATTTTCATACTCCCAAAAATAACCAGCATAGAGGAAGAGCTATCCTAACTCCTGTGGTAAAAGCACAAGATTTAGAAAGCCAACAGAGACACGTTCAACTACAAGAGAAATAGAAATCAAGATCTGCCTGCTATGAAAACACTGGGG